CACATTCTCTAATCTAACAACAAAGTTCTCCTCTGCAGCGTTGATTCGAGTAACGACACCCGTCCCCATGAGTCCCACATCTCAGAGCTTCGCCTCGGTCACCTCGAAATCGGCAAAGTGGTCATGGATGTCGATTTGAATTTCGAGGTTTTGATACAGTGGAACCTCTTTAGCAGCCAACTATTTAGTCCGTAGCTTTTAGAATCCCGTCCGTTACCTACTAAAGAGGTTTCACCGTATTTATATGAATTGACTTGATTGATTCATAGATGAGACGAGTCGAAATGAAAGAAGTCATCAAAAAAGCATTCACCCAGTCGAACTTGATCCAAAAGGCCCTATCTCGAGGTGAGTGTCGATGCAATTTGTAGTTATTTGTAGTCTAAATGTTACCATTATTTTCCTTGGCTTTTCTAAGAGTTTCTTTTTGAGTTTGCTATTTAACAAAAAAGCACCGCACTAAAAGATGCAATTGCGGTTCTTTGTAGCCTTAAAACTGTAGTCTTTGTTGCGGTTCTTTGTAGCCCTAAAACTCACCATCTAAAAGATTCTGATGAAACACCGCTATTTTTCAGAAGATTGGGCCTGCTTACTTGGAAGAGAAACTAAAAAGAATTTCGGGAACTTTTCTCTGCCATCGCCCCACCGATGGTGGTTCTCAACACCTCTATCTCGTTGAATTCTCCCGATGAAATGAAGATTCTCATCAAAGAGCTTCGTGAAATGATGCTCGATGAATTCACAAGTTTGAAGCTCCGTGTCAACGAGGTCTTGCGCCGAAGAGACTTGAACGATTTCGGGCTCAGCCCGACAAGAATGAAGATGGCGCTTACCTATTGCAGAAGCTCTGGAACACTGACGCCGACCACAACTTGCGGGCGTTTCGAGACTGGTCGTTCAAAGATTTCATGGGCGCTTCTTGGGATTGGAAAACTTATTCTAAGTGGGCTCATTGATAATAATGAAGGCTTTGGTCGGTCCTTTGTGCTTCGTTGAACTCGATTGTATTTCTCTTAGACGACAAGAACGACTTTTTATTACAATTTGTTACAATTTTCAGGTGCACGACGGATCCGCCAATCCAATTAGCATCGTCTTTTTCTGGAGCAGCTGAATGGCAACACATCAATTCTCGATTCGTTCAAGAGCCCACAGACCAACGAGAAAACATTCGTAATCATCGATGAATGGTTGGAGAATCTCTTGAAATGGCTGACGATTACTGGGAGTTCGTGTGGGGCGCTGCATCCAGTGGCTACACAAAAGACGATGAAAGAAGACTTCATGCAGGTCCTTCGAGCAATTCTCTCAAAAATCGTGGCCACCGAGAACGCTATCGGAATGAATGGCAATCATCGATGCAAACATTGGCCCGATCGATCATCGACAATAGCCCCAACAATAATGATTTGATTGTCGAGAAGCTGTTCACTCAGCTAAAAGCCAACTATACGGGCTTCTTCTTCGTGTCGGTCGTCGATGCATTCGCCAGACTTGTTCAGTGACTGCAACAGCAGCCTAGCTATTGGTGGATATTATAGACGTGGTATGGATGCTCAACGGACTTTAACCTCGGAAAAACTACACCAAAGGAACTATCGGATTGCACGCAGCTCGTGTCGACAGCCACCGGCCGCTATGGCGTCAGCGCCCGGACTCCCATGTTCCTTTGAAGATGTGCTCCATTATTATGAGACTCAAGCACTGTAACACGAGTTCGATGGTTTATTTGGTGATTCGAGAAGGACAAATGTACCTTTGGCCCCTGGGAATATTCATACTATCGGGCCGCCTACGATCAATGTGCGTGCAACGGGAAACCTTGAAATTCGGGACGACCACTCTGATTGAAAATGTCATTGTGTCTCAGTGAAACCTTAATGCAAACTTGTACTTTTTCTCTTTTCTTCTTGTTATTCATTTCTCAATGAAACTTGCAAACAAAGCCTCAAGAATTATATAACAAACTTATGATAGTAAAATTCAGAATAATAATGTAATAATCTTTTTTCTTGTTTAATAAAGAGAAATTCACGATCGTATTTCTTGCACATAATTCAAAAGCACTTCAATTAAAATTCAATCAATGAAAACACCTGTAATACCATTTTGAAAGAGCTCTTTTTGAAGGAAAAACCCCTTTCAGAGCCAAGAAATCTTTGGATTATAACACAACAAGTATTTATTTAGTTAATCATTTTTCATTTAGTGAACAAGGAGCTGGTCGATGTAGATCCCTTCTGAATAATCCTAGTTAGTCATAAGACTTCTTTTCAGTTTTCTTTCAGCTTACGGCAAACTGGTGTCTCGATCGGATTTCATCTGAGTCCGGTCTTTTCTTTTCAACTAGAGCCAATTTTTGCACAATAGAGAAAGATCTGTCTGATATCAAATCTGGCTAAGCGAGCCGACTTTTGTCCATTCGTAAAGTTTGTAAAGAGAATTGAAAACAAAAAGTTTATTAGGATCATTACATTTAATCTGGTTACATTTAATTTCATTTTTAGCCACTAAAGGCCCTAATTGTCCTTCTGTTGCGGGGATGTTTGGGAGGGGAGTCCGGTCTTTCTTTTCAACTAAGAGCCAATTTTTGCACAATAGAGAAAGATCTGTCTGATATCAAATCTGGCTAAGCGAGCCGACCTTTTGTCCATTCGTAAAGTTTGTAAAGAGAATTGAAAACAAAAAAGTTTATTTAAACAAAAGGTCGGCTCGCTTAGCCAGATACGGAATGGGCTCCCGCTCTATCCGGCTGAGCGGGAGCCCATTCCGTATAGTCGAACGTTGACCCATTCTAATCAAATCTTTATTCTAATCGAATCTTCATCCTAATCTTACAATGCTAACGTTTATCTAATGCTTTTCATTCAATTTTGATTGATTGGTTTAATATTGAAGTAATAAGTAAGACAATAAGTGTCATAGTGTGATATCAAAGCATTTGAAAGCAAGCTTTCTTTCAGTTCAATCAATTCATCGGTCAATTGGGTGGTTTGCTCGGCGTTTTAATGGGTGTCAGCTGTATCACTTTCATCGAATTCGCCATTCTCATCGCTTACATTGGTCATATTTGTTGTTTTGCTAAGAAGAAAAAGTGATTTTAGATATTGATTATCGTTAAAATTTTGTATAAAGTTTAAAACAAAACAGTTTTAGTTTAAAACAAGATTTATTTTCAAGATTTAACCAAAACTTGTACAGAAAATGACTCAAAATGGATAAAAAACAGTAAAAAATGATATGGTGATTCTCGGAAATGATTAGAATCAAGGTAAAACCAAGGTAAACCAAGGTAAACAAAAGGATAAAACAAAAATGGAAGAAAATAAGACGGAATTCGTTTCTCCTCAGCATTTTTAGCACCAAAACTACAGTAATCAAGCCATTCGTTTACATTTAATCAGCTTAATTTTCATTTCATAGTGAACTAGTGATCTAGTGAACTAGAACTAGTGATCTAGTGATCTAGTGATCTAGTGACCTAGAACTAGTGAACTAGTGAACTAGAACTAGTGATCTAGTGAACTAGAACTAGTGATCTAGTGATCTAGTGATCTAGTGACCCAGAACTAGTGATCTAGTGAACTAGAACTAGTGATCTAGTGAACTGAGAACTAGTGATCTAGTGACCTAGAACTAGTGATCTAGTGATCTAGTGATCTAGTGAACTGGGAACTAGTGATCTAGTGATCTAGTGATCTAGTGACCTAGAACTAGTGATCTAGTGATCTAGTGATCTAGTGAACTGGAACTAGTGATCTAGTGATCTAGTGATCTAGTGACCTAGAACTAGTGATCTAGTGATCTAGTGACCTAGAACTAGTGAACTAGTGAACTAGTGAACTAGTGATCTAGTGAGAACTAGAACTAGAGATCTAGTGAACTAGAACTAGTGATCTAGTGATCTAGTGATCTAGTGACCTAGTGAACTAGAACTAGTGATCAAAATTAGTGATTTTCATCAAAAGACATTAAATTCGGCTATTGAACTTCACGGGATTACGGTAGTTTTCTAAAATAAGTGCTTTTTCGTAGCTTTTCGTAGATCAACGAAAAGAAACGCTAGTTATGACTGAGAAGTGAATTTTGGGTAGATACTAGACGCAAAAACGACTAATTGCAAAACGCAAAACGCAACACGATCACTAATTGCACTAAATATTGCAAATTTCTCAAGAACAAACACTTATAAACAAAAAAAAATATGCACAGAGTTTATAAAAGAAATGAAAAACGGGTAAAAACTTTTCGTTTATGACTAAATTTGAATAAGCCACTGAAATCGAGCCACTCAAATTTCTAACAGCAGAAATTTCCTCAAAAATCTAAACTATTGGCTTCTGGTGTACTGAATTTATTATAAGACTAAGGTAAAGCTATTCAGCTTTGTACTTTGTGCCTGGAATGGAAACGGGTGCTTACGGTAAACGATTAACGGTGGGGCGGGCGATTCTCGGGAGGGGGCGAATGTTAGTCAACTTGCAGCCCGATTTTAAATAGTTTTTGTTAATAACTTTTGATGAGACAAATAGTTTCTGAAAGCTGACGTTCTAAGCTATCTAAATCTTGTTAAAATTTTCAGATCTGACAAGTTTAAGATGCTTAAAGATGAGCTGCAAGTTGGTCAAAAAACTTACCTCCCCTCCTCTTCCTTGCAAGTTGGCCAAGTTTTTGGTCAACTTGTAGCTCATTTTTAAGCACCTTAAACTTGTCCGATTAAGAAGTTTCTAATAAGATTTAAATAGCTTAGAACGTCAGCTTTCAGAAACTATTTGTCTCATCAAAAGTTATCAACAAAAATCTATCTAAAATTGGACTGCAAAATCCCCCTCCCCCGATAACCGTAAAGATCCGAAAAATTTAGTGCCCCGGGACGGATGAGTTTCCATTTCTGAGTACAAATTACACAAATACAAAATAATTTTTACGAAAAAACGGTGCTTTTACGGACTTCTTCTTGAAATCTCTAAACAAACACGTAAACAATGACATTGAGATTAATCTGTGGGTGATGTTGTGTCATCAGTTGTGGAATCTTGATGAATTGATTCCTCGATCATCTCATCTTTCTCATCTCTTGACTGATTTGAGGAGACCGGCTTTGGACGCAAAAGGTTTCGTTCCTTTACCTGAAACAAGAGATTTATTATATTGCTCAAAATAGCTTGATTATTAGATTAAGCTCACGATTAATCACTTTAAATCTAGACTCTTTTAATACTAGAAAAGCTCAGGATTGTTCGAAACACAAGAATTTCGATTCAAAGAGGTTTAAAACCCTTCTAAACACTATGATCAGTGAAATGTTTTGGCTAAGACGCATATCACATAAAGTTATTAATTAGAAGAGTTTACAGGACTTAAAAGGCATTGTTTTGTGTAGCTTTGCTATTAGAATAGCAATGGAGAGTTAGTACAGGGTTTTCAGCATTTACGGTCACTTCTTTTTGGTAGATTAGGTTACAAGCGCCAAGTTCAACCCTAATTTTGTTAAATGTTGTATAAAATATTGAAGCCCATACTCTTGGCTACATTTATCTGTTAAAAGTTTCCCGATTCGAGATATACAACTCGTTTTACAAGCTCTTGAATGAGTACTAGTTGATCTCTCTGATCGTGCCGGAGAAGGATCAACTAGTACTCATTCAAGAGCTTGTAAAATGAGTTGTATATCTCGAATCGGGAAACTTTTAATAGATTATTGTAGCCAAGGTTAAGGGCTTCAATATTTTATATAACTTACTAGAGTTGAACTTAAAGCTTGAGAGCAAGAGGGATCAACTCGTTCAAGAGCTTGTAAAATGAGTTGTATATCTTCAATCGGGAAACTTTTAACTGATAAATGTAGCCAAGATTAAGCGCTTCAATACTTTATATAACACTTAATATATTAAGGTTGAAGTTGGCGTTTGGGAGTTAATCTACCAAAAAGAAGTCATAAGTCAAGATTGCGATTGACACGTTTTATAAAACTCTACGTAAGATGGTTCTCCTAAAACAAAGGGCTATGTTTAATTTGGCCACTTTTTAAGCATTTGCTCTACTTGTTCTAAAATTTTCTGTGCATTGATAGCTATTTCATAATTGATTTGATTGATTTGATTGATTTGATTGGTTTGATTGATTTGATTGAGTTGATTGATTTGATTGATTTGATTGATTTGATTGATTTGATTGATTTGATTGATTTGATTGATTTGATTGATTTGATTGATTTGATTGATATTTTGCCCACCTTGTACTCGAGTGTTGAGTGTGGTACTCCATAAAAGCTGCCGGCTCTATGCACGGACATCTCCCCAAGTCGAACGCTTCTCACCGCTTTTTCAAGCGCCTCTTTGTCGTACTTTCTAAAATTAATAAGCTAAATCATTTCTACAGTAATCTAACTTCTAATCAATTGATTTATTGTTATCAAACTAAGTTGTTCTCGACTCACCTGTATTGTCCTCTCTTTGGCCTCGATCTTTTCCACTCGGCGCTCATTTTCGGCTCCAATAACGGCTCTTTTCTTGGCAAAGGCAAGAGCTTTTTGTAGAGAAGCTTGGATATTCTAAAAAAAAACTTCTTCACAAATTGATTTTAAACTAATCTAAACTTTCTGTAAATAATCTTAAAAGAATCTACCTGCTGTGCGACAAAATTCTGCCAAAAATTCCTTTGTCCAATCATCCGATTGACTCGAGACATCCGATGTGCTTCCCGTTGTTGAAAAGCCTTTCTTCGAGAGCTAAAAATTGATGTTGAATTGTTAAAAGATCAAACTAAAGTTGCTTTTTTTGTTGTTTTTTGTTGTTTTTTGTTGGTTTTTGTTGTTTTTTTTGTTGTTTTTTGTTGTTTTTGTTGTTTTTGTCGTTTTTGTTGGTTTTTGTTGGTTTTTTTTGTTGTTTTGTTGTTTTTAGTTGTTTATTGTTGTTTTTTGTTCTTTTTGCTCTTGTTTTGCTTTGATTTCTTCTAAAAACCTACATCTGAATTGTCCGAATTCTCCTCACTTCCACTACGCGATGAACTCGCCGAGCAATCCAGGGTTTTCCGCATATTTCTAAAACTTTCGATGATCAGAATTGCTAGAATTTGTTTGTTTTTTCTATTTCTTATTTTATAAGACCTTGCTAGCATTTCTTTGTTTTTGACTTCTTATATTAGAAACCTTTTTCAAATTCGCCAAATGGTGCTTTCTCCGAATCGGATTCCGGGTTATCGGCTCTCCGGAAGCTTCCAATTTGTAGATTTTGTTGCGAAGGGTTGATC